TTAATACTTCTCGTTGATGTGAGCGGCCGCGTGCTCGGCCTTGGCCAATGCGACTTCCGCGGTGTCGACTACCCGGCCGTCCACGCCGATCGGTGCACCGGGCACCAACTTGGCGAGAAACAGAGATGAGCTACTGGCAAAAGCGCAAGCCAAAATGGCGGAGAGAACGATCTGAAAAGAACGGCGCCATGTTAAAGTGTTATCTGTTTACAAAAATTCATCGTACGTTAATTTGATTAATTTTTAGCATAAGACAAATTCTTTTTAGATTTCATAACATTATACTTTGTAACAATATCAAACATAGATGGACATATGTAGAGATGAAGAAAACTATGATACAACGTACGATTCTTGAAAATCGTCATATAATATATTTCTTCTGGAGAACAAGAAATATGGAATTTTCGAGTATTAAAATTCAGACAATGTTTACAATTAAGTCAACCACAACTGTCGTTTCTTTTCTTCTTATCACAACAATGGAAATATAAAAAAAAAAAAAACCGCCAATCACGGTTTGCCTTCGGTGCTAAATATTTGCTGCTGAACCAGATTTTTTATTAATACTCACGAAAACCTTCATGTTGAACGAAATTACTCAGCTCCTTAGCGCTGCCGATCAGGATCAGTACTCGCCAAGGTGCTCGGCTAATATGTCGTGCATCACCCTGTCCACGCGGCTTTATATACGTAGTAAAAGCCCCCGTGGGTAAAAGAGGCTTTGTGCCGAATCAGGCGCCGCTACCAGGATGTATCCCATCGCAAATAACAGTGTCCAATAAGAGTCGACATATATTTGACATTGACGCCTGTCGTTTCATTCCCGTTCGCATAATCGTGAATCGCCTCATTTCTGTCGGACCTCATGACGCCCGCTCAAACTGGTGCCCCTCGACTCGATCTGCGTAATAAGCGATCGAATAATTCGTCGACGCCCGTCTTTTTTTTTTATGTCGCCAATTTATCGTAGGTAAAAATCTTTTATTCGTTTTGTTTCGAATTACAATCGGTGATGTAAATCTTTAATCCTCGGAAAGCGTATGAAGTTTATAGAATAATTTATCGATAAAAAAAATACTTTTTTATTTCGACTTAACACGAATACTGACCGTGATAATTATTACATGATTAATTAAACTTAAAATTAATTTTCTTGAAAAATTGATAGTGTCTAAAATTATTTGTTTTAATTTTACTTTTCTTACAATTATTTGAAAAGACGCGTGTCTTTAAAAACTACAGATGCATTAGATCGATTAAAAAAATTTTCAAGAACGCCAGCGAGCGAGTATAGATGAACAAATATGTTTTCGTCGCATTAATCGGGGATTAAGTAACACGACAGGTATGCAAGTAGGCAGACATCCTTACCTAATCGAGCAGAAACGACAATAAGCCCGCTCTAGAATCTGATTACGCGATCGACGCAGCCTTCAGCGTCGCATGCGCGACCTTCTAGATCACGGCCGACCTGGCAGAGAAATGGAAACGGGATCGGGTGTCTTCCCGATCTCGTACGAAAGAAACGGAAAGAAAATCCTTCTCCGTTTCATCTCGTCGTCTCGTCTTATCCGGCGTAAACTCTCGCTTTACAAACAGGCTTATCTTACCAGGCGAAACGAAAGCGGCCGACCACACGCAGCATTTTGAAATCTCCTCCCTTCGTGCCCTCCCACGCGATCATCCTATTACATGATCTAGGAGAACTATAAAGGCGATAACCGCGACGATTGCGCCGGATTGTGCATCATCGAGTGTATCTCGCAAAGTTATATTACTCATCGTCGACGATCATCACCAATCACCTTCCGGTGTAACTGAGTAACGCGAGAGATGACACGTTTCGCGATCGTGCTGCTCGGCTTGACCAATCTAGTCTCGGCCAGGCCAACTTTCCTGCCCGTACCACTGACGTACGCGACACCCCTGATATCCGGTACGCAAGTCGGTACCAACGGCGGAACACCGGATAATCCTGAAATCTCAATCGCGCACATCAACGAAAGGACAAGCGGAGTTGCGAGATCGACTACTGAATCTCAGTTGCGATCATCGTCCTCGTTGATCCGTGATGGTGTGCAGCCAACATCGACGTCTTTCGCGCCTCTCGGCGCTGACGGCAGGGTTGTGGACACACCGGAAGTTGCAGCCGCGAAAGCAGCTCACGCAGCCGCGCACGTTAACGAGAGGATCAATTTGGCAAACGAGGTTGCCAGGTCCAGTGGCGACGTATCGGATTCGTCTGATGTCGTAAACAGCAATTCTAACGGCAGAATCCTGGACGCACCGGAAGTGGCGACTCGCATCGACGGGAAGATCAACCTGGTGAAGGAGGTTGCGAGCTCCGGCGATGATCTCACGCGCATCGTGGGTGGTCGTGTGGTGCCATTGGTGCTCGGCAATGGTGTCGTCGCCGCTCTGATGCCTGTTGATCCTGATGGCAGACCGCTGGACGTGCCGGAAGTGATCGCACGCGGCGATCAGAATCTGTCGAACGACGTGAGGTCCGTCGACGCCCTGGCAGTCGCTGGTTCGACGCTTGCTTACGGAAGATTGGTTTATTAAAGAAATTTTACCGATGCACTTGAGAAAGACATACCCTACGGCTTACTTTGTATGCGCCTCTTTGTATTAAATAATTGCAGAATTTCAAATTATAATTGTAAATTATTCCTAGGTCTGAAGATTCAGGGATTATGTATCACCCCATTAGATGAAAAATGAAAAATTCGATGGGACTCGATGAATAAAATATTCTTTAATCATGTATTTTTTGCTTGTAGAACGATTACTTTCACCGACAATTCATATATATTCGGTGTACAAGATATGTAAAAATAAATAACACACCACATATAGCATGTAAAGCCAATATATCATAAAAGAATAAAATTGTTACCTCACATGAATGTGATACTTCGTTTAATCCACGCATGCCTTACGCTAAGCTCTACGATTTGTCTCGGCAAAATCCAATTGCAAGACGGCAACAAACTTTCCATATTTCATCGGTCTCCGCGAGATTTCGCATAGCAGAGCTTCGCGAAACCAGTCGCAAAACTCCACACCCCCGGGACGTTCGGTCGGCATCAGAGAATGACTCTCACGATCGAGAGACGTGTAATCGAGATAATCGTGTGATAAATTAGCGATAATCCGCGACAGTCTTCTCTTCATGATCCCGGCTCGGCAACCCCCTGCGATAACGATCGCGTGGTACTACGCGTGACCCTGACGGTCGACGTATTAGGGCATAGCCAGGCAGATCCCGGTTCGGAGAAAAGAAAAACTCATCATCGGCACTCTCGGCTGAAAAGCAAGCCGGATTTCGACGACTGCGACCTCGAAGGCACTCGCGTGACCAGTTCTCACCGCGGTGGTCTTCGGTGGTCGATTTCGCGAATTTCTTCTTTCGCGACTCCGCGAGGGAAGAGGAAGAGGACGCAGGAGGGCAGCATCACGTCGCTGCAGGGCGTGGTTGCACGCGACCGCGTGCATATATAAAGTGTCCTGGCGTCGTGTTCACTGGTTTTCGAGGATATACTGGCGCCGTCGAAGTACAATCGCCATGAACGGGGCATCCGTAAGTGCTCGTCTCGCGCGTAGGAGGATCGCGATTTTAAGATCCGTCGACTTCGCTCCGAGTCGCTCCGAGGTCGGGCCTTGGTGGATTTAACTCTCAAGCGCGTCGAGATTATCTCTGCGAAAGATTGTTCGTGGCGGATAGTCGGGAATATTTACCAACCTCGTATAAACTTTAATTTTCTGGTTAAAAAATTCTATTTCTCGTCTCGAGAAAGACAGGTAAAAAATTTCGTACAATTCGATTATGTTACCAAGTTGAAGTTTGTACTTCGGAAATTGCACGAGACTCCCAGCACGAGATCTTACGTCATTCCCGCAGAGTAAATCGCCGATACCTATCACGCTGTAATGTCATCCGACGATACTAATCCGTCGATATTAAACACCTAACACCTTCAGAACATACTCGTAATAGATCTCACGTAACAAGCGTAACAGATGTTACGTAAATTATAAGCTGATCTCGTATACGTTTTCAGTTTTTCCTTGTCTGCTGTCTGTCCGCCACTGGCTTCGCTAAGCCGGCGGTGTTTCTCAGCTATCAAGACAGCCTGGGTCAATACAGTTTCGGCTACAGCGCGCCAGGATCGGCCAGATCGGAAGTCAGGACGTCCAATGGCGCTATCAGAGGCACTTACAGTTACATCGACGAAACCGGTGTCATCCAGACCGCGCAATATATTGCCGACGGTGAGAACGGATTTCGGATAACGACAACAAATCTTCCGCAGGCGCCGCTTCCGGTTCAGGACACGCCGGAGGTGATGGCCGCGCGCACTGCGCATCTTCAGGCTCTGGAAATGGCGACGAGGAGGGAGGAAGAGGCTGAAAGTCGTGAAAAGAATCGGGAGAACATGCAGAAGAAGGAAGTCGAGGGGAGCCAAGATGACGCGAGTGTTCAGAAGATACGAACACGATTGGGACCAACGGTCACGGAGATTTCGGTGTACGAAGCGACGCGAAGAGCAGCATTGGAGAACGCAAGGAATACCGAGTTAGAAAAGAACAGTGACGAAACTTTGCAGGCGGTTGCTTCCGGAAATAGTGTTGGCAAGGAAAGTGAAAAGAACGCGAAGGAGGTAGGAAAAAATGGCAACATGGCAACACAAAACAGTAATAATAAATTCTTAAACAATAGTTTTAATGTAAATTTTGTAAATTTGTGTAAATTTTGTAAATTTTAATTTGCGAATTTTGTAAATTTTTAAATGATATTCGAACTGGAATGTCCAAGGCGTTTCAAATATCGCGAATATTTCCGCTTCGAAATTTTTCTCTGATCAGCATTTTCTGACAATTCGCAGGAATTCATCAAAAGAGTATCGCAAATCAACGCAAATACTCCGATTCAATTAATTACGTACGTGCCGCTATCTCTGTCGTTGGAACAACAGGAGCTATTCCGATTGTTCTATGGAAACTGGGAATTCGAGCCTTCTGCCAATCTGAAGTCATCGATCGCTCAAGGTCAATTATGATTGTAACTCACCTTACCATTCACTCTCTCCTCCGCTCTGGTTGCATTAAATATCAAATTGCCGTGAGCGGTTTTATTAAATACTTTCAACTTTTCCGTTCGAGCTTTGTGTGTCCCACAACGATTCTCTAGTTCTCGAGTTCTCCAAGCATTTCGTGATCTAAACGCTCTTTTATAATTTAAAGACGCGAAGAAAAATTGTAACAATTGATTTCTTTCTTATTGACAAGTACGATAGAGAATTATGATTGTTCTTTTACTTGCGCCCTTTTTCCGCCGTTCTACCGAAGGTCGTCTTATTTCCGGGGCCGAAGACCGTCCGAGGTCATCCCTCACTGCGATTACGACCGGTTCGCAAACTCGTTCGTTGATACTGTAAATCGATTTTACAACAAATCAAGCCAGAAGATTGCAGCAAATTATAAAGGGCAGGACTAAAACTGAGCTCGCACGAGAATCGACATTAACGAAAATGATCGTTCTTCTTCGCAGACGCTTCCGGTGTAATCACGCCAGCGGGAACAACCTTGAAAAATGCGATAGCGATTCCGACCGAGGGAGCAACGACGCCGAGGGAAAAACAACAGTCGCAACAATCGCAACAATCGCAGCAATCTACAACCGAACAAATTCGCGCTGTCAATCCTCTGTTCGTCACTCCGTTGAACGTGATTCCACTGAGTTCCTCGCAGTAGAGCACAATCCGACACGTCGACGTCTCTTCATTATGCCTACAACAATGTTCTGTGAACATGAAAAAAATATTGTGGAGGATGTGTGGTTCGCCAAATGTACAGAGAACTGGAATAAATGCTCGGGCGATCTAAAATCTGGATTAGGGTTCTTTTTCTTTTGCGTTTGTCAAGATATTTTTATTCTTCTTTACAAAATAATGCAGGATGTTGTCGGACAATACAACGGAGTAGTACATGATCGATACTAAGGATAAGGATAATCAAAATCAGCATCGTCGCCATCGCTGCCATCGACACTCGTCAGGGAGACATTGGTACAGCACAAAGTACGTAATGCTAGGTGTATAAATAGGATATTAAAAAATAATTAATATCTAAAGAGAAGAAATCTCGTAGTTTCTTATATGAGTCAACTTATATGAGAGAACCTAAATTAAAAATTAATTGAAGATGTCCGATGACAAAATCACGAAACCATTCACGTAACGGCCGTTGCACATACACGACATGTTAATGAGAACAAAGCGTACCTTTGATATTTTTAATCACGTCAGACAGGACGATTTGGACACGACCAGAAAATACTTGTGTTAAAATTTCATTTAAATCTCGCCTCGTAAATCTTAAATCCTTGATTAAATTGATCCAAGGAGAGCGGTTGGCGCGATTCGAGAAGGCAACATTATCCGAACGCAACGCAATGTTTCGCTCGTCAGATGTGGTCGTCTTCAACATTGCGGGGACATGTCAGACAATCTTTGCCAGGAAGGTCTTTTTTTTTACGCGGGTCTACTTTTAGTACTGGCCTGAGATTTATTTCCTAATTCCGCAAGGAGGGAGGAGAAACGTCGTATGACAGTTACAAACAGTCGCGGTTGCGATTCTAGCGGACGATTTAAGCTCGAGGTTGGATCGCGATAATTCGTTACCACGAAGCAGAACGAATCTCGACGAGTCTGCGGCGGTCTCGTCCGAAATTAATTACGGCTGGTCGATATTGCAGCTACGTCCGTTTCTCGCGCACTCGTTTAGCCATAACGCCGTAACCGCGCTCATCGTGTCAGCGACATGCATAATCGGAACGGAATAATGAAAGTGACAGGTTGTTAATAATGAGACTGCCGATATACTGCTTGATCGTTTGATGCGATAATAATCGGACAAATTATTAATTAATAGCGACGCTCCTGTGTGTGTTCGTGTGTGAGGGAAGAGTTATAACGACGTTATAATTGATATCTGTGCTTCTGCACGCCCCGCCGTTGCCCATTTTTCTTCTATATATATATATAACATTCTCTTTTACATATATATTTATATATATATATATATATATATATATATAATATAATTATATAT